GTGTGAAAGAAGCCAATGGAAGGGCCAGCACTGTTTACTCTGACCATGGGAAGCTTAAGAGCACAATTTTGCTGGGAACCAGATCCTGAAGCCTGGTGATGCTGCCACTGAGAATGCCCTACCAGTGCAGATTCACATGAAAATAGGCAAGACTTTATCAAAATGAGCATTCTTAAAATCATGGGTGTGGATGGGTCGGTCATCTCATCCATCCCGATACACAGAGGCAGGTTTTACTGCATCCAAATCAGTCCTGATGGATGCCTATCCAGCATCTTCTTAAACCCATGCAGTGAAGGAGATCCTACAATTGCTGCAGGTAGTTTAACTGCACTGACTTTTGGTAGTTTTCCTTTGAGGTTTAACTTGAATCTGCCTCCTGTAGTTTAAAGCTATTGCTTTCTGCCCTAACCTTAGCAGCTAGATAGGATAATTGTACACCATCCTTTTTATGGCAACATTTTACATATTTGAAACTGTTATCACATCATCCCTTCACCTGCCTTTCTTCAGATTAATTATTCTGAGCTCATTCAACCATTCCTCACATGGTTTGATTGCCAAATCCCTGATCACACCTGTTGCTCTCTTTTATATTCTCTCCAGTTTCTCCACATCCTTCTAAAATGTGGTGCCCAATAATGGACACAATATTTTATCTAGTTCCAACTTAACACCAGTAAGGATGTTAAGGAATATTACCTTACATATCTTGGATATGTTGTTTTTGCCAATGCAGCCCAAGGTGGTATATGCCTTTTTCACAAAAGCATCTCAGTGCTAACTCATAGTCATCTTGTGGTCCCCCACAACACCCAAATCCTCAGCTGTGCTCAGCTATCCCTCATTTTGTATCTGTTGAATTGGTTTGTCTGCTAGGTGAAGTACCTTACATTTGTCCTTGTTGGAGTTCATGTTATTGTTCATGACCTAATTCTCTGATTTATTGAGAGCATTTTGGATTTTCTATCCCACCCACATCTGTGTTGTTGGCAAATTTAATTACTGTATTCTCCAGTCATTTATTCAAATTGTTAATAAAAAGATTAATAGTATCGGACACAAAACATATCCCTGTGGTGTTAGGGTAGCTTGTTATGTTTAATGCTTTGAAGTTGCACTTGCTTATAGTATTGTTTATATTTAGCCTTATTTAATCATTGCTTAAACTTTGTTCTTATTAACTTTTCATATTTTTATTAGCCTGCTTTGCGTTGTTTTTGTAGAGCTCATAGTGCTCATTATATCTTTTTTTTTTTTATCACTGTGAGAAGTTTTTTTAACATAACATAGCAATGGCCTTGTTATCAGCTCCAATTAACTGAACTTGGCACTAACCAGTGAATCAGAGGATGAAAGGATTGGATATATTAATGAAAGATGATAAGGGAGACCAATGGACAATGCCCAAAGTAAGATATCAGAAAAAGGCCAAATTAAGAGGTCTGCTTGTGATGGGTCTGTTAGACAAAGGAATATGCTGACGGGATAAAGGATGGACAGTATGCTGAGCGCCAAGAGACCAATCCACAAGCAAAGAGTCATCAAAGGAGTGAAGTTGAAGAAAAGCATAAAAGGGGGGAACAAGAAAGTTTGTCATCATTGTTGTCATAAATCCAGCCTTCTACACCTGTCTGGACCATCCCAGCCCATGATGTACCCTTTGCTTCCAGGAACTGAGTGGCTGTCTTTTCTGAAGAGCAATGTAACATCTGGGATTGGGTGAGATTATTGTATTGAATGTTTTTTCTCTCTCTGAATACAGAAACTGCTAAGATAATACTTGTTGTACTAATAAAGTTAGACTTTGACTTTAAGACACTGAGTTGTCTGCATTCATATTTCATGTTCCATTTAAGGGTTAATTGTGCTTTAATGATTCCCTAGTACTATCTGGGAGACAGGGATGCTCAGTGGGATCCCACTTAATGCTTCCTTCCAGTTTGATATTGATACATTCATTACTACTTGCTGCCTGTGGTTTTTCAATCAGTTATGTAGTCACCATGTGGCAGTTCTTTCTTTTCCAGTTTACTTCTGAGAATATCTTGTAGCACTGTGTTGAAGCCTTCCTACCAGAAACCCAAGAACGATGGTCATTCAAAGAGGGAATGCTCTCATGCCATCTGCCTTATGTCCAACCCATACTAACTTTTGTAACTCAGATTTCAAATGCTCTTAACAAACTATTGACCAAGAATTAACTCCATCAATTACTGGATGGTAAATCTGAATAAATTCAATAGAATCACAATGTGGTCACAGACAATTCACCAAAAGAAATAATAGTAACATTTGAATCAACTATTACCAGCTATTTCCTCAGCTCTATTCATATTATCATATCTTAGCTGGAAACAGGTTCATTTGTGTGGAAACAAGGGATTGTTGCTAGAAGAGCAAGCGATCTTGAACGTTCATCCTGACTATGTAGTTTGGGTTATCTGGATGAAGCATTCCCAGGCTTTTCTGGTTGCGCTTCCCCTCTCTGCAGAAGGCTGCTGTCACAGGGGTGAATTTTGCCTGACAGATAACAAGAATCAGCTTTCAACTCAGCACAGTGTAAAAGCATCCCACTATCCTATTTTAAGTGTAAAAGCAACAAGTTCATTAGGGAAGTTGCTCTCTTGTGTTCCTTTTATGCAGTTTCTACAGTTCAAAGCTATATGCACTGATAAAATATACATCCTTTCTTTCATCATGGAATTGTTCCTTTTTTCTTTCCTCTTTTTTTAACCCTTTCCAAGCAGGGTGCTGTCTCAGGTGAAATTTCTGGCAGAATGTGCAGAAAAGGACTAAAGTTGTAGGGAATCCAACGCCTCAGAAGTTTCTTTTGTAGTAATGACATCAAGGACAGCTAAGCCACTAGCTAAAAGTCAGACATATGTTTTATTTGTTTACAAAAATAAATTACTCTAAAACCCAAAGTAAATATTAAGTCACCTAAGACACCTTGGAGTGACTTAAGCAGCCAGTGGAATGAAAGTAGCATCTTGCCACTAACAATATGCCTCTATCTGGATTCTAAATTCTGATTACATGGATATTTTTTAAAGAAAAGAAATAATGGTTTGCTGAACCATATGGTGGGTATAAGCACCTTTAGAGAACAGGAGCAGAGAGAATCTGATTTCACTCAGTCTGGAAATATTTATGGTCTGTCAGAATATTGCCATTGGTTTCTGATCTACCATGTTTCTGTTTAAACTTTCTCAATGCTCAGATATAGGGACAAAGTAAAAATGCATCAGTCCTCCAGATTTACAATTTTTGTGCCCAGTTTGCACACACAAAGTTAGTCTCCTCAGGGAAGATACTGGGAAATACTACTCCATGGTGTAAAGAGACACATGGGCATAAGGGGGAGCTGACACAACACAAGCTCCTCATGAAAACTGGGACAAAGGTATTACAAAGTGTACAACTAAGATAAGCCTGCATGTCATTACCATGACCATAGGAGGGCATCTTTAACAGATAATCTACCTATTTTCCATCAGCAGAAGAGGGGCACAGAGGAGATCATTACACTTGAGCCTCTCTTACTACAGTGAGAGGTATCACACTCTAGGAAACTCCTTTCTGTGATGGTCCTTAGGTTAGCGCTTTTGTTCACCCTTTTTCCTCCAACTAATCCCTGATCTCTTTCCCTGGAAGCAGCAACTACCATACTTCATAATCACAGTGGCCATATGTTGCTTTTATACTCTCCTGTGGTTCCTATGGAGTAAAAATTGCCTACATCTTCCCTACCACGGAGCTTCTTGTATGTAGAGATTGGTGCTGGAGCCGGAACAGAACTGGAGTGAGCTAAAAGAATTGAAAAGCTGTAGCTGTTTTCTCTCTTTCTAATGCACTGGGTAGATCATGACTGTAGTAGAGAAACTGGCTCACTGCTGTCCAGGTCTGGCCATAACACAGGATCACAAAAAAACCAGCACTACAAAAAGCAAGCAAGTCAACTGCCCGATGCAGTGGGACTATACTGGGGTCAGAAAACAGATGCATCATTGATTCACTGTCACTCTTCCATATGGTATGAGAAATTGACTGTCACTATGTCAGCCCATTTTCAGAAAAAAATTCCCTTGAACGTTTGTTCCTCAGGGGGTTTAGAATGGAGGGTGTTTTAAAAAAAAGTAGACTTTTTCCCTCTTTTTATCATGTAGCATCCCACATATCTAAGAATGCATCAGAAGGGCCCCATATTGCCTGGGCCATAAGTTACTTGATGTTTACTAGCTTATCTGCAAGAGAAGGTCTCCTTACTAGAGCTGGTTCCGGTAGTCTGTTCATCACTCTGGTTGGGTTCAGATGGTCTCTCTGGTCACATACAATGCACAGCATTGATTAGGTGCAGCTACAGATGTCCGGGACGTCTGTAGCTGACATTTGCCAGTACTAACATTAGGTTATAATTATACAGGTGGAGGAGCATCATGTTACTCACAACTATTCAAGTTTCATTTTGTAGCACTCAGAATGTTGCCTCTAATAAAATCAGGAGCCAATGAAATGCATGCAAAGGCAAGGAACACTACTTAGCTGGAAGAGAAACAGCAACCATTCACAGTGAGGCGGGGTATGCTTCCAGCGCCTCCATATCCCACACTGAAATTTTGAAAGGGGCCTTTGTCTTAAAGGCCAAACTTGGGAAGGGTAACAGAAAGCTTCTGAAAGCAGTAAGAATCTTAAGGACAACCCTGGTGACAATACTACAGCAAAGAATATAACTGAATGTGCAAAGCAACTCATGGTTTACCTGCATTAGAAGCCGAAGAGGTTTTCCAGTCTTCTGCTCAAGGACTCTGAACTTCACACCAGCTGAAAACAAAAGCAACAAAACAACCTGTGATGGAAGAGAACAACCCCCATTCTCTTCTCAGCACAATTATTGAGCAGAGATTTTCTAAAAATGACACAAGAAATCAAGCATGGGAGTCAGTCGACAAGAACCAAATGACAAAGGAACTGCAAAGATCTTTATTAGTCCCTAACATTCTGTCAAAACAGGGGGAAGGCCCATCCTCTGCTATCAAGGGACAGAAAACTGCTACTAATCACTTTTCTTATGGTTGCTCAGTACTGTAGCAATGAAGTTTGGCACCCGGGACAAAGCCTGCAGTGGCAGTCTGCCCTTGCCCTACACAGATCAGGGGGGTGACGACAACACAGAGTGGCAGGAGCTGCCCTCCCTTCGTCCCCGTGCCCCACCCCGCAAGCAAGCCACTCGCAGCTCTATCCTGCACCCTGCCCTGGCTGGGCAGCATCTGTTGGTGCCCCTTGGCTTTGGTGCCTGGGGTGGCTGCCCCACTCGCCCCCACCTTGCTATGGCGTTGTGGTTGCTGTTCATGTGCTAGACTCCCTTCTGCTTTTAGCTTAAGTGAGGGAAGGGCTGGGATGGTCATTGACACAGAGGCACTTGAGTAAATTCAAAGCAATCAATGATTACTGATAAGAATTAATCCATTCAGGTATTTTCAACATGCTACTGACCACTGCTACCACCATCCAGTCTCTCACTTCTTTATCCCCATCAAGCCTAACTAAGTTCCCTAGGAAATCAAAGTTAAATGGGAAAGATTTTGGATTTGAGGTATGATATACTGTAAATAAACAACATTTTACTAATATTCTAAACTGGGAGAATACTTTATATTTAGAGGGGGACAGATTCCCTTGATGATGCAAAATGTTACAGCAGAGTGAAAGTTCTTTAAAGAACTTTCCTCTACCAACCAGGATCATTTCAGTTTTGGCTAGGTTCAGCTCTATCCTGCCATCCAGTTATTTTTGTCAGTCATTGAAGAAAGCTAGAAAAAAAGTGTTTATGTATGAAATAAGAGAGATGTAGAGTGTCATCTGAATACTAAAGGTCATGTTGCAAGATCAGCTCCCCTAGCAGTTTCATACAGATGGTGAAAATGAGGGGATAAGGTTGAGTCTTGTGGGCCTTGGCAAATCTGGGCTCTGGACTAGGAGAAAAAGGACCAGTTACTTGCAAGGACTTGCTGAGAGGAAGCAACTAATCATTTCAAGGCCTGTTCTTCATGCAGGCAACTTCTTTGAGACAGGACAGCAACAATCAAAAAACATTAAATGCTGAAGAGAATTCCTGCAGGCCAAACAAGGATGTACTATCTAGGTGAAGATACAGGAGGAGATTGCTCACTTGAACAAGTACCATCTTCTAGGAATTCTGGCCCCACAGTCTCTTATCACAAATACTAGTTAACATTGTCTCTGAACTGAAAATTTTAATTAAGATCCTAAGCCATTAAAAAATATATGAAGGGCTTAAGTTACAAATACATTCATTTATAAATTAACACTATTATTTATAGACTGTTTGAGAGCTTTGAGCACTAAACTTTATATGAAGAGTAAAAATGTGCAGTAAGTTCCAGATTGTTATAACAGAAATATCCTAAACCATCTTCTTGATTAACCTGGCAAGATTAGAGTTCAGGGTTCTGTGCTCCCTGTGCTTCATTTATATTATTACTAACATAAAACAAATCAGAATATGCTTGTACTTCTTTGTTTGACTTTATGCAATGCGTTAATCATTATTTATATTCTAGTAGATGTTGGAGCCCCAGTAGGCTAGGTCAGTGGTTCTCAACTCTTTTAGACTCAAGGCACCTCTTGTTAGGCTCAAGATACCTCTCAGAAAATGCCATTTCTTAGTTTTTACTCTTTTTTTATTACAGAAAAATAACAGACCAACTCTTTTGTTGCAAAAGAACTCAGAAAGACAACAAGTCAGAATGTTTTTGACACTAGAGATTCCTGGTTAAAATCTCTGAATTTATGTTGGGAATCATGTGTAGGTGTTTGCACATCTCTCAGTGCTAATCTCATGGCATCCTGGCCATGAGAATTACTAGGCTAGTTACAAAAAGTCATGGGCTAAATACAGACATTGGATTTATGATACATTATAACCTGCCTAACATCTGATACCCCAGGTAACCTGTCTACTATTTACCAGCTATATTCTCAACACTAGGTCTACATTCCCCTTCTCCGCACACTGGTCTCTCACCCATTAACTGGCTCAATTTACATTTTCACTGACAGGCTTTCTTGCATGCATACTGGCCTCTGGCTTCTATTCCATCCAGGAAGAGCACAGACCAACTGCAAACACTTCCTCAGCCTGTTGAAGTGTGTTTGTACCTGAAAGCTTGCAAAAAAGAATTTTTCCAACTATTTTAAATGGTCTAATAAAGTGGCCTCCAATCTTTTTAAGTAGGAGATCACCTTTGGCATTTAAAAGCAACCCAAGATGTATCATGCGCCGCTGCCGCCACCCCACCCAGCAGGTAAGTCTGTGGGGAGGGATGGGGCAGATCAAGGCAGAGGGAGAAAAAATTATTTGGGAGCATGCCTCCCCAGCAGATAAGTCCCACCCAGTCGGGGCCCCACTCAGCTTACCCCTGCTCCTGCCTCTGCGGCACTGTCCCTCACAGTAGGGGCCTTGATCTAGCCCCCACACCTTCCTTCCCTCTTGGACTGACCTGCAGGCGGTGGTGCATGCGTTCATGCATGTAGGCACTCCCTCCACCCCAGCCTCGGATCAACTCCAAGAGGCTCTGAGATCTACAAGAGGCTCCGAGATCTACCAGTGGAATGAGACCTACTGGTTGGTGACCGCTGGTCCAATAAAAGATATCAAATTTCCAAAAACAACCTAAGCTAGTTAAAGAATCACAAAGAGTTTGCAATAAAGAGTATAAAAGAAAATAGATGTACAGAAAAGTTAACTAACTTGTTGGAAGTCAAACTCTAATGACTGAGCTAAGTTGCCTGAACCCTAGTGCAGTACCTGATTTACTGCATTATACCATTCCAAGAGCAAAACTCTACATCCAGAACAAAACAGGCAGACCCCATTCCAGGATAACTTTTTCCAGTTGGCTGGCCTCTGCTTGGTGTACACAGCTCTTGGGTGGAGAACTACAGATTTGATATGTTTTCAAAATGTTATAAAAAACATATTATTCCACGTATATGTGGATGGACCATTATTCATCTACGCTTACTTAGACATCATGAATACAAGTGTTCTCTCACTTCAGAGTCTGAGCCAAGGAAATCAGAGGCCAGATGCCAGGACTGCACTGAACTGTAGTTAAAAAGTGCACTAAACCCTTCCTGATAGGAAAGCAATACATACAAGGCATTGGAACCACTTTGACAATAGTTCCAGAACTAACTGATCAGGAACCTACAGCAAAAGAGCAATACTATTGGGACGATATCTTTTGCAGGCCATTACTCTGTAATTGGTAATAGAAAAGCAGCAGCAAGGAAACAAATGAGTGGTGTGCAGTTTCATAGTTGTTAGGGGCTGGAAGGGACCTTACAGATCATCAGGTCCAGCCTCCCTGGACATGTGCAGGAAAGATTTCTTGAAGGGCTATCCTTCCTTTAAGCTGATTTGACCTTTTCTTTTCTCTTCTCAGATAAAATGTTCTTCTGACCTGAGTCAGAGATGACCTCTCAAAATGTCTTGCCTGAAGAGAAGGTCTGATGCATTTTCCTGTTTCCTCAGTTAGAAGACATCATGGTTGGTATTGCACTGTTTTTTTAAACCACTCACAGCAAGATTTCATTCTAATCAATTACCTGACATCTATTGGGACAGCTGTCTTTAGCTGGATTTCCTGGCATCCAAAGACAGTTCCTAAAAGGTTAAGTTCCTGCAAGCAAATGCATGGAGACCTGCTGAAGGCAGGCACTGAAAAGCAACATAATCAGTAGAATTCCTCATCTCTTCACTCCCCAAACCTGGCATATTTCCAAAGAGACTAACAGACATAGCCGCTATCAGTTGCCTCAGGCTTCCTTTTCAGTTCATGATTGGCCTTGACTTGGTGATGACCAAGTTCTTTCACTCTATGTTTCTTGCATCTGGAATTCCCTGATTCACAGTCATACCGGAGCTTATGGTTTAGCCCTTCTTGATTTGCAACGGTTTATCTACAATTAATTTCAGCTAAACCCACTTCAGTATTACCCTTAATTCCAGTCCCAAAAATGATTGTCAACCATGGCATGGCAGAAAGTAATTTTGAAATGGTCACAGGCTAATCTGGAAGGAGGGATGCTTATTTGTTACTTACCCAGAGTTCTCTGGTTCTGAAACTAAACTGGACATTTCAGTTCAGTTCTTTAATTAGTATAAATCAGCAAAGCTCCACAAAAGTTCACCAAGTTATGTCAATTTACACTGAAGACACAGTCCTTCTGAATATATGAATATAGTTCTGGGAAGGGGCCCCCAGGCTATCAAGTCCAGTCCTTTGTGCTCTAGACAGACAATTCCCAGGGACTCCCCAAAATCGCTACTTCAAACCTCATACACAACTAAAAAGTACAATATAACTGAAACATCAAGAGCACCCTATAACACGCAATAGGTAAAAGCAGGGGAATGAGGGCAGTGTCAATGCCCTGTCACTGCAATGACAGGGAAGCAGATCATTAATATATGATCGAAAGATCCTAGAAATAGGACTATGCCACATGCTATGGAGGAAAACAAAATCGCCCATGGTCCATGCCTATAGGACTTAAGGAAAACATTCCTTTCTGATGCCAAATCTGAATGAAAACAAGATCTTCTAGCCAGGAACCCATGTATTTTTAAGTCCCAGAAGGACCATCAGTGCCCTCTAGTCAAAAAGCCTTGGCCTAGGTGTGGCCAACATCCCAGTGCTTCAGAGGAACATAACCTCATACCTATTCCCTGCTCCCAAGCTAATAGCATTAATGAAAGGAAAAAAATCCTTTTTGGCCCCTACTGGTGATCAACAAAAACCCTGGAACATGGGATTATCTACATAATCCCCAATATACTACAAGAAATTTACCTCTCTATCCCAACTGCAGATTACAAATACACGATTTCACCTATCATGCAAACTGACTGTTGAGATAGGACTCCTTGTTTTCTCATACCACTCCTTCCATAAACTTTTCCTGGTCAATCTTAGAGTGATTCAGGTTCTTTGCCCTACAACTTCGCTCAGAAAACCATTCCAAAACATCATTTCTCTGACAGGTAGAAACCTTCTTATAATTTCTGACCTACATTTATAGCTACCTATTTATGTATACCCATTTTGTAGCTCTTTTTTCTGTTCCTCCTCTTTCCTTAGTATTCATGCCATGAATGTACTTGTAAAGGGTGATCATATCCCCTTTCATCCTCTATTTTGTTAAAATAAAAAAGAACAGGTTCTCAAGGTGTTCTTCCATCCTGTTTTCAAGCCAAGAACAGATGGCAGAAAATTAAAATAAAATTTCCCCCACAATTTAGCAACAACTTAGAATTCCAGAGGATTTGAGGTTGCTAGCAGATCCTGTTAAGCTGACCTAGTAGGTCAGTAGGTAAAAACAGCTAACCCAATTTAAAAGTTGTCTGGGAGAACAGTACTTTCTGCTGCAATATGCTTTGCTATACTGCTTCTGATTCTGCTTTAACATCACATTACTTTCCACTGACTTTATTATCCAGTATCTTAAGATAACTGTTTAGTAGCACTGACAACTGCATAGCTTTTGTGTTGGGAACCCTGAGTGTCTTGCAGGCATGAATGACTGGTGCCTCCCGCGACTGTGGGGGCACCATGGTGGTGAGCAGCAAGCAGCAGTGAGGGGGGGTGGTAACTGCCTGCAGAAGCTGGTGGTGGCTTTGGTGGCGGCCAATCTCGGGGGAGGCGTGTGCCCCTCCCTATGCATTGCCTATGCTTTCAGGTAATGTTTACTTTTCAGTACAAAAAGCTATCCCAATATCAGATCAAACCCCCAACAACACCCCTGTGAATACAAGTGTGGGAGCTCTTGCCAGTTTTCAGATGTGGTACCTACCTGCAAGTCGGTAAGATCTGCAGAGCCGAAGCAAGATTGAATAAAGGGGCAGAGAGTCAATGAGGTCCACTAGCAGATGGATCAGGCCTTGCACAACCACCACCAGCAGACGGAGCTATAAAGAAACAGTTTGACAGGCAGGATGAAGATGAGCAAACAGGCTTACACTCTCAGAAACAATTAGTGATGTTGGCAGCCTAAATTTGTGGGCACTCAGCTTAAAACACTCTGGATAGAGTTGATTTCTGGATAGAGTGAGCTCTGAGAATCAGACTCCTTGACAATCTTGGTCTAAATCTGTAATAATAATCAAGGTGCTTGTGGCTGCATAGACTCTATCCTTCAAAAGCATGAGATATATTCTACTTTTGTGCCATTGAAAATAGTGGAATGCAATATTAAAGACAGAGGTGAGGAATTAGACTTCCACTTCTAAGAGATTCCATCACTTACCAGCTGTGGTTAATAGATGCAAAACCATGTATCCCTTGCAGTGAATAAAACTAGCTTGCTTCTAACTGAAGAATCCCTTTATAGAGCATTTAAACTTCCCCTAATTCAAGCACTCTCCATTGTTGTACTACTTTTTATAGTTTTTTCTGTCAAACTATTTGGAGACCTATACTATTTTTATCCTGCTCCTTTCAAATAAGATGTTAAAGTTATGTGAAGGTTACAGGCTTTAGTGGGAAACTTTGCATCCAGGCCTCAAATGGTACTGGCTGGATTGGGAAATGAGTCCAACTTTTCCACCAAAGTCTGGCTAAGTAAGTATTAATGAAATAGGTTAATTTCCAGATGGAAAAGTTCTGGATCAAACCAGAAGGGCAGTCACCCCAGGAAGTGGGAGGGAAAGATTAAAAATGACTCCAGGGAAAAGACAGTAGAATAGATTGTCCCAATTACTTTGATTTTCTGGGAATTTCCTTCAGAGAAAGGCAAGTATGCATCCTGAATTCCATCTGCTCGGTGCATGTCAGCTGTATCAGAACGCTTCCCAGGACAGTCTTATGATTATCGTATTTGTATATGGATGTGAACGGACAAGTGTATATTTCACTTACATAGATAAGATGTGACCATCTCTAAAGGCTGAATCTTACCAGCGTAAACACCAAGTAATACAGTGCAGTGGTGGGTAAAAGAAACAGCAGGATCGTAAATAGCAAAGTGCCAATAAACAACTGGGGAAAAAGAAATAATAAGCAAATGTTATTAACAGTACAAGACATGTAAAGATTAGGAAATGTTTAGATTACAGAGACAGGAGGTTCACAACACTTATCCCAACACACTACTTCTAAGTCCATATTGCTAGTGAATAAGACATTTTTACCCTGAATAAGTAATGTCCCTCAATAATGACCCCTTTTGTAAGGTTCCATTTCTCAACATGCAATATGGGTAATACATACATTGCATCCTATCAGCATATGACTCCCTGATAGACTACTCCAGGGTTCTATTTTTTTTTTAGAACCCAACTTTTCAGTTGATACAAATCAGCAGAGCTGCAACAGAAGTCACAGAGCAATACTGATTTGTGCCATCTAAGGATCACATTCTTAATCTGAGATTACATTTTCCAAAACGGGAAAACCAGGGATCACCATTTCTGCAGAAACAGAACATGACCATGGTGTATTGCAAGAGAAAATAGCTGGAGAGCCCTTCTTCAAAGGGAGATCAATGCCACAGTTTAATGCATGTAAGCAGAGATGTACCATAACCCACCCCAACCAACAATTTTTTAATGGATTTTTTCCCCCAGTACACCCTCCTTTCTCACGTCACTGCTGTTGCTTAGCAAAGCCTTTTTGTGTTAGTATATCAGAAAGTCTTTTAAGGTCTGTGCCTTAAAAAGCTGTTCCCACCTGAGCCAATGACAAACCCCCACTGGTTTCAACAGCAGCAGAATTAGTTTTTTTACATGCCAAACACATTCTTATTATCCATGTGCAAAGAGAAAGAACCCTAAAATAGTGGAATATCTCTGATACTGCTGCTCTTCCTCTCCTGTCCTGGTGGGGTTGTCCCAGTATGAGTGTAAGAGGCCTAAGTTTGTCTGTTGCAATTTGCTGAAGATGAGCTGCTCTCATAAGTTATCAAATAGTGCTTCAGCAGAAATTAAAAAGACAAGGTCAGGAGCTGCATTGAAGCTACTCATCCTACCAGTCTATGGTATTTATCACTTCACCTGCAATTCTCATCTCAAAGCAACTGAAACTATTAAATAACAAATTCTTATACTTGGCCCCATTTGAGTGATACTTTTTTATGATATTTTTGAAATAAGGAGAGAACAGATTGGCTCTGTGTAACTTTCCCATTGTTTCTTTAGCACTGCAGTTTGAAAGGTAGATTGCACTGCTTCACAAAATGTGTTCAACATCCTGGTGAAAAAGCGTAGGCCAACCTCCAACTGAATGTGAAATAAATAGGGTCTTTTAATAGGAACACTAAGAAGTATGTTACTATGGCAACACTGCTGGGCACCACTTACTTGGTATACTATTTAAATTGCCTCCCTCCTCCGTATCTCCTTCCCTACCCATGTTCTGAGGGGCACCAAGTATCTTCAACTCCCATGGAAGTCACTAGGGCTCCTGGCAGGTGCTCAGTACCTCCCAGGATCAGGATCCTTTAATATACTGAAAAATGATTATAGTAACCAACAGCCCTGAATCTCAGGGCTGTGTTCCAGTGTCTCTGAAATGGGACTTTGGTCCTGAATCTGAAAAATGTGGTCCTGAAATGGCTGCCCTCCCCCATCTCCGATGTCCCCTCACTGCCAGGCACTATCCTAAGGACCTGCTGAGAGGACAAAGTCTGGTGCTATCTGAATATAATTATATTGCTTCCAGAGGTAGCCAGGGGGCAATTAGCCCAGCCACAGCACTGCATCAAAGCAGATACACCAATCAGAAGCAGAAGTGGTATAGACAACTTCTGGTTCTGGAGGTCTGTGGAGTATCCAGGACTGTATACTGGATTTGCAGTATAGAAGAAGAGTCCAAAATTGCGCTCGAGGAGCCAAACAGGCAATGTGCCAAGATCTGTACTTAATTTGGATACCCTGGAGCAGCCTGTGGACTGCACCCTGACTTTAAATGAGGCAGAATCAGGCCATGCTGCAGACTTTGCAGAGTATAATACAGCAGTTGCTTGATGCTTTGCCACTACCTGGTCCAAGTCATAGGAGCAGGAATCCACCCGCTGTCGCAGGACATTCCACTTCTTCCCACGGAATAAGCGCCAGAGAGATGACAACCCATAAATCTTCAGGCAGTAGAGCCTGTGCAAAGAGAAGAGACACCATGAATTAGAACCAAGATCTCCTGAGCCACAACAGAAACAGTTGCTATCACTCTCCACGCTGTCAGTTGAGCAGGGCACTAAATTGCTAAAGTTATGTAAACTGAAGGAAGCAAAAAAAGAAAAAAGAACAATGAGGATAAAACAAAATATTGAATAACTGCTTGATCAATGGCACCATCCAGCCTGTGAACTGAATGAGGAAGGGGCCCTGTGGGAAAAGAGCAGCATGTGATCATGTAATTAAAGACCATGATAATGCAGATACACAAGGGGGCACACACAACCTTAATTCTGGCATTCTCTTACTTTTGATTGCTTGATGTTGTGACCTCAATTTTCCTTTAATGTAGATTTTCATGCGAAACTGGTTGACTTTGAGAAGCAATGTACACAGCTTGATGTCATTTTCCCATCTTATCTGTGCCTGTCTATATCTAACCCAATAACTTTGGAATGTTTGATCAGTTCCAAAATTTCAAGGAATGTTCTGGGTATAAATGTCTAGATTTGGGGGAAAACTAGAGAACTGAAATAAGGGATACATGGAGCCTCTACAACTTATTTAGCAAACCATAGCTTCAAGCATCTCTCTAATTGTTTACAGATCAAGCAATCTGTTGATGGCACCTATTACCATTGCATCTCACCTCTCCTCATCTATTCAATGTTGATACTATGACACTCATAATAATCTACCAGACCAATTATGAGGGTGCAGGGAACTCTGGAGTGGGAAGGAGGAATGGGGCCACATACTCTTGCTTGAGAGGAAGGGAGGTGCAGAGAGATCCCTGTGCACAGTGGAGAGATTGGCAGAAAGAGAATAAGCATTGCAGCTTTGGCACATGGGGGAAGTTGGAGGACACAAAGAACCCCAGGTGGGTGGAGGGGATTCCACCTGCCAGAGGAAGAGTTGTAGAGGAGCCATGAAATGGAAGGGGATGGAAAGGCATTGCAGAGGGAGCAGCCTGTGGGCTACAATGGAGGTGTGTCCAGGGTTCAGCCTGCAGAAGCCCACAGAGTGTGTGACATCCTAGTTAAAATATACGATCAACTAAAACTCTAAACCACTATTGTGAAAGTAGTGGTGAATTGTCTTACACAACAAAGGAAGTCAGCTGGAAGGATCACCAACAGCTTAACAAGATTTGCATACAGCTGCCAAGGTGGGGAGGCTCAGTTCAGCACAGTAACCCACAGTGTCCCCAAGACAAGTCTAGCCTTGTGGCCTTACATCCCAGCTGCTTCAACCAGTGCAGACTTGCCTCTTTCCTCTGACTAATAATACACCTGCCCACTCCCATGCACTCAAGCATGCATGCCTAATACTGCACCTGCCACACCTTCACAGTCTATCTGTATACACATGCCTGCTTTCATTTGCATGTCAATGTAGTGAATTCACTTTAAAATTAGGACTCTGAATTCTGCATTGCCTTGATTAGCAAATGTAACACTAATGCAGCATACAGCTGTTGCAATACCACCCCCCCTCCGTTGCATGAATTGAGGCTTCTGTGGCAATTTAATGGTTGTGAGAGTTTTATGCTCACTTATCATTTCTCCTTTCCCCCTAAGGAGTGTCCTGTGAAGCTGGGCAAGTTTGCTGTGCTTCAGGCATAGGTAGCTATGCTTCTAACAAGGACACTTGAACCCTGCAGACTGCCATTCTAAAGCACATAAATTAGAAGTGAACAATATAAAAACTGCTTCAATCCTCTCTCCCTCCCCTATCCTGACCTTCTTACTGAAGGGAAAGTCCCTTATCTGCTCTACAGCCTGAAAGATGAATTTCCAGTAAAAAAGCTCTGTGGATGAGATTCCTGCTAGGCAGGATTGCTATGAATCCTAAACCCTCTGCTTACAGCATTCCTCTATACATCTAAACTACGATATTCCCTGTGACCTCTACCTGTCTGCTCTGAAGTTCACTCAGTTCTACTCAATGTACTTTACTTTTCCCCTCCTCACCACTCCAGGGAGGGGAGAGTGGCATCTCTAGTGATTATTAGGCAGAAGATTTCTTGTTCATCCCCTCAGCATGCTGTCTTCTCTGTCAGGACTGCTATTCCCTGTTGTACTTTATGATCCAAAGGATGCACCCATATTAATGCAAAGCATCAGCAAAAACATGCTTTGTTTTGAATTTGTTTCGCAAGAATAACTCTGACACACTCAATATAGAATGCGACAAACAAGCCTCTCTCTCTTACACGCCCTTGCCTGCTCAGCTCACACCCGCTTTTCTGTGACTGTAAAGTGCAGGTGGCCCTCTAGTGGGGCAAGGGTTGTAACACAGAAGCCATTCACCATCATTCGGGCAATCTGAAAGGTGCAACTGAAACTCTAGATAGATTACTCCAAACGGATGCAAATCTCTGCCGCAAGGGAGAGGCAGTGCATTTCTGGAAGCACATTAAAAATGCAGTATTTCCTTGCCCCTCCTCCCCCCCCAGCCACTGGAGCTGGGAAGAGACAGGAAGAGGCAAAAATCAAAGACTCTTGGAAAATTTGCTCTCTTTTATTCATCCACTATGGGTAATTTTACTTTTCTAACCAACTGCTCAGAGTGAATAGACAATTAGCTGTAACATAGTTAATATCCCACAGGGTTCCCACATAGCTCTGACAGATATTTCTGTATATTCAGACTCAGTCATTTGGATATAATGTAATTGGCCAAATTCATCTGTGGTTTAAAACTGTTAAAGTCAATAGGATCCCACCAAGGACTAACTGGGCGCAACATGATTTTGGGGATGGGCATATCTGATGATGCAAACAAATCACATTCACCCACCTGGCTCCATAGACATAGAAGCAGTAGATATGGAAGGTCAGGAGTGCAATTATGTCGGAGAGGATGGAAAGAGCCACAGTCAAGCCTAGACAGGCTGACAGGCCAACATACCAGAGGATCATCTCAATGAAGGGGGACATCAGGTGGATGTAGCCTAGTGGAAATTGGAAAGAATGACACTGTACAAGAGGTATTTCACCACTTGCTGGAGCCTCTAGAGAGAAAATTCTTGATGGCCTAGTCAGCCTCTCCCCCTCCCGGTCCCTCCAAGAATGTTGCTTCAGAGATCAAAGCCAAGATGACATGAAAGTAAAAATGGGAAGTGCTTTTAGATTGCCACCTTCCAATTACAATGATTGGCACTTCCCACCCTTTTAACTCTTAATTCCCTTTGCCCTGGTGTAGCAGGTGTAGAGAGGCTTGGGGACATCCGCTTACCCTGTGCAAAGGTGGCCATCTTACTCCCATATGTGGCTGACATTGTTGGCTAGATTTTCTGTTCGCTATCCACTGGGATAAATTTTTCAGGCACATGCTAATCCTTACTGATACACGTTCATCCAGCTCTCCTACCTCAACAGAAACCATCACAAAGCAGTTGCTACAAAATAATGAAGTCTATGCAATATATTTAGTAGCATGAAACCTCTTTGACCATTATTCAAGGTGGAGCAAAAAACAAGGCTGTGTTTGATTCATTAACAGCTAGTCACAGTTGCTAAGCCTTGTCCTACATGACTATTTCCCACATGCACATATCTGATTATCACTAGCGAGATTCTATTTCAAGATACAGATGCATTCATGACAAGTTTAAAAAGGCCATGCACTGAACCGAAGTCAGCTACAGGATGGATTCTGCATTTCAAGCCCAAAAATAAGGTTCCCCACCCCCATCCTGTCCAGCTACCCTTTACAGGGCAAAGATGAAGCAGCTCTGGAATCTTCTTTTGGACACAGGCCATAACTGGTGCCAAATGAATTAATTTTACTGTGCCTTTTAATTTTTGCCAAGTACCAAATCTATGCACTTTACTTATTTCACATAGCTTCCCTGTGTGGAACCTGGAACCCAATTTTGGTTTGAGTTCCCAAATCAGAAAGAATCACAAACCAGTATGTCCTTGCAATGACACACTTTGACTCAGATTTCTAGGACAACACAAGACACTAGGGAGAGAGCTGTGAAAAGGGAGGATGAAAGGTTAAACAACTGTACTTACTAATCCAAAGGTGAATGTGGTACAGAAAGAACCGTCCCAGCACCTGGTCCAAAGCTCGGTTCATTTTTAAACCAGCTGGCACTCCCATTAGCCATTGCAGCAGGTCCTGGAGCTCTTTAGCAACATGCTGCCAACACAAGATGACAATCTTAGAGAGTGCAGAGTGGTTATACTGTACATACGCAACACTTCAGATGCAACAAAAGCCTTTTCTCATCACTCCTGTACAATCTCTGAGGAAAAATACTGTCTCATGGGTGCAAAAAACCCCTACATTAGCTATATTAGAAACAACATGTGCAGCTTGATGAAGAGCACCTTTCAGAACTTTTAGATAAACACCACACAGGCGCCCAATTCTCCTGAGTCAGAAATCAGATCACAGATGACACTTCTGACAATACCTTTGCAACGTAGGAGAGCAAACTGGGTGATTTTCAGTGAAGGCAGTGATACATTTTCACAGATGATCGAATACTCAAGAGTGAGGGGGAAATGTAACTTTTTGAGTAAAATTTATGCAAATAAGCTTGGATTTTCAAAAGGAGCTGGAAGCTATAGCTTCGTTAACAAAAAGGTATGCTTTTTTTACCATAAAATAACTAATGCATGTTAGCTATCCCGCTGTAAAAAGCACAGCAGAGACAAGGTGCATTAGTTGTATGGCAAGGTAAACAGACAAGGTCATCCACAACCTACAGGGCTGGTTTTGCCTAACTACATTGTGGCAAACATTACAAGTCCTTTGCTTCCATGTAGGATTTCCTAGCCAGCTAATTATCTCTTCTAAAAAGCACCTTGATGTCAGTAATTTCAAAGCCTGAGGGAGTCAGGTGTCCAAATCACTTAGACTTCTTTGAAAAACCCAGACCCCCCCCCCACACGGAGTAACTGTGAAGTTCACATGTGAGGAGATCTAGACTTGGTGCCCAACCTTGATGGATGATGGGTCTGTTTTCTTCTTGATGCATATGCATCATTTCTATAAATGCTAAAGTCACAAATTCTCTGCCCAGAGAAACATGTACCCATCAGAGAAAAAACTGTATTTATTAATCAACAGTTGGGGGATCATTTGTGAAATAATTTTCTACACAGACACCCAATATGTTTAGTTTAGTAGCACAGTTGCAAGCTACATTTTCAACATGAGCAATGTTTCGTTTCACAATAGGATAGACTGTACATCACATTGATTTTCTCTGCCCCTGCATCCCTTAAAATATCTTATTGCAAGCTAGGTCTGGCTTGTACCAGTGAATTTTGCCCTTGTTGTGGAGAGACATGTGCTAGATACTTTATAAATAGATCTCTTTTAATATTTAAAGAGTTAGAGCTGTAGTTTAGCAAAAGGATTTTTTAGTTTAATTAAATATTTAAATGTTTGAGAGCAGTCCTTGAGCAAGGTCGTTGTCAGCATGGAATATTTCTGAAGTCCTTTGATGGCTACAGTTTAGAGTTATATTCTGACTAAGGCGCAACACTCCTGTAAGGTACCACTGGGTATTGCTGCTTTTGAAGGTGAGGGCTTTCAAAGCAAGGCCCCAGGATGTAGTGTTTTGTGGTTATTTTGCTGATGGATGCTTTAGAACTGATCAACAGAAAGAAAAAACAGACTTAGGAGATGACCTAAGAATCCAGTCCTCTTGCTGTAGTCATTAATACTGTATGTTTTTCACATTAATAGAGGAAACAAAGTGAATTACATGGAAGTCATTTCATTAAGGGGCTGTGGGAACATCACCAACCTAGAATGAGAAGCTGAAGTGGTTAAGATCATATCACAGTGGAATCACTGTCTTGTTTAATTGCAGCCCATTTGTTTTTCTCAATACTTAGAGGTTTTGTTGGGGATGTAAGATCAAAGGAAAATGACACAGGAGGCAACAGGGCCCCATTGGGATATCTCAAGAAACCCAGAGCAAATCAGAACTGCTCAAAAAGCACTGTCTACCAGATATATGTTGGTACAATGCCTACTATAAAAAGGGCTCAGGCTTCTATGCTTGACCCTCATAGAAGCCCCAGAATAGCAAGTTTCAAAATAATGTCGTTCACTCCTTGTTTTGCTTCTGAATTAGCAAGGAAGTTATTTTAAATGTCTGGCTTGGGGTGTAACCAATTATCACTAATATAGCTCCAGAAGTCTTTGTGGAGTTATACCCTGCACAGGATCAGACACAGATAATTAACCGGTTTCTTCCCCACAAAGCATAGAGGTTAGAGGCTTATATAAAACTGATATTGAGGGATCCAGTTTTCACAACCACAATACTGCATAGAAAACATACGGGCTTAGGTTTGCTTCTCTTTAAGGCAGAGAAGTGAGGAACTTAGTGTAGATTTGTTGTGAGAAGACAGAATCAGGAGCTGCCATCAGGGAAACATGGGCTGAGCGAAGGGAGTAGAAATGAGTGTAGGAGACATAAAATAGATAAAGAAGGTTATTTGTGTTCACCACTCTATGTTCTGACAGCTGACACTAAAACTGGCCCTTCACTCTGCACACTGCTACTCCCCAGGTGTCTCTGAATCACATCTGCTTCATTTACTGATAAAAGCAACTTGTTATTAGAGTCAGCACAGCACTGCCAGTCAAGCTGTGAAAGAGGGAGCTGGAGCCACTGATGGCTTTTTGCCACAGCAACAATTGCCAGTTAAGTGCTGATTTAAGGATCATTATCACTGGGGTGATGAATGATGGGGACAGAACACAGCTTGATTCTCACATAAGCAGGTGGAGCTTGGAGTGTTGGCAATTGGAAAATGAGAAAATGACTTCCCTGTTATTGTTTTGTCCTAAAACTAAGGCTTGTGAAAAGGGAAGAAAGTTTTGATAAGTCCTGTAAAGTCTAACCCAGATAGATTCCAAATAGCATACATAAGAGGAGACGAGTAGCAAAACATGTTGGCACTTCCAGAAGAGAGAGGCAAGGGCAAGAAGAGTCTTGTTATGAAGGTGAATATCAAGAGACAGCAAGAAAAACATCACACTCCTTCTCACACAGTTAAAAGCTTTTTGATATAACACTGAGGTGATTGTTTTTTCTAAAGCAAAGCACTGTAGAAAAGAGATTAAAGAATCTTATTTTTATTTTCCAACATACTAATGCAAGAAGCCCAGAGGCCAATGCCATTAGCAGATCTGGTGCACGTATCAGAACTAGAATAGCACAGAACACTGGGGGAAGAAAGTCATTATACAAAGAATTGTGAAAGTTTCTCTCAAATGTGGCAAACTTCCCCCAGTCTGAGAAAGTTTCAGTGATGGGGATAATGTGTACCAGATGGAGATGCAGCAGCAGAGAGAATCCCACTGCAAAATGGCTATGAAGAGATTTTATTGCTGAAATGGGAAATTAAATGATGTTGGTTAGCACCACATGTGCTGAAGTCACCAGGGAGGCATTTCCCTGGACGGTGCAGACCTGCATCTTTTACGTGCACTTCAGGTCTGATACAAAGACAACTGAAGTCAATGAAAAGGCTGCCATTGAATTATGGACCCAATCTAATGCCTGGAAAGTAGAAGAACTAAACAGTAAGAAACCAGTGTGTAGAAACTGTAAGTAGCATGAGGTTGCACAAACAGTGATGGAGATACCCAGGGATGGATCCCAGGGTAGGAGGGGGTGGGGTGCAATTTCACTCCTCCTTGATTCCTGGTGTACCCAAAGTTTAAGACCAACTGTCTGGAAGTGGCAGCAGCATTTCTATTCAGGCAGCAGTGAGGAAGTCACCTGACTTCATGGCTCATTATAATCTACCTGATTCCATTTAAATTCTTCATTCCACAGCTGTTAACAACCATTTCTCCTTTTTTAATGGTCTTAAGGTTCCACTAACTAAATTGTTCTTTTTCTGCAATTCTACTATTTTTTAGCTGCTCCTGGTAATGTAGCTCTTATTATACAACCCTGAAAGCTGTTTTTGACTCTAGCTAGAAACATTAACTCAGGTGTGGAAATAACCTTCTGTGAAATATTGACTACACTGTCAAGATGCTCAAGAAGGCTTGATTTTTTTTTATGAATCTGAAAGAGATGTACATTTAATTCTAATGGCTACAGGACTAAAGAAACAACATCTTTGTATTATTGTTGCCTACTTTGTTGTGTTTTTAATACATAATGTATGATACAACAAATGAATGCACATTCCAATAAAGTTATATTTATATCTTGCTTCAATTTTAAACTGAATAATAAATCCCTAGCCCTCTAGCATGTTAGTAAAGCTTCTATTTTCTTTTTATGTGGAGAAAAATGTGTGTTGAGTTATAAAACATGATGCACCACACCATCTTCTCCCCCCTTTTCAAAAATTTAGATCTGCCAATGGAGATACCCACAGAGCAACACCTTGGAAGAGCAAGGGACAAGTCAAATTGCTAGGAAAGTTCACTGAAGTGAACATCACTCTCTGTTTCAAAGGCATTAAAGACTACTTTTGTAGAGAGTCAGGAGGAAGTAACAGATATTACAGCCTGCAGGCGGGAGAGAATGATTTATCTGCATGATTGAAAGAATGATAAATTCTTATAGCCTGGCCATCCAGGAAAAGTGATATGGTCCAACACATTTCAAGTACAGTCCATCTGCCGATGACACTGGGCAGATGGAATTCTTTTCAAATCCACCTGTGCATGTGGAAACCTAGCCAGAAGTCATCTTACTCTCGGACTTGCAAATAAATAAGATTTCAGAAAGCTGAGCAATTAAGGGCAGCACTAGAGGACAAATGATCTTCCAGCTAAAAACATTTTCAGAATGTTTCAAAAAACTTCAGATGAGTAATTTAAAAAAAGATTTGGAGGATATACCTCACATTAACCTTACAGTCAAAGCATACATTAGCAGGGTACAGATGTACTCTAATTATTATCATCCTCTTTTCCTTTTCTCACCAGTCTGGCCAAAGAAATGACTGAAACTAAAGCCACCCTTGAAAGTTTGACTCAGCAAAGTAGTACTGTGTAAGTAGCCCTGCTAATCTACAACCACAGATATGTGTAACTTGTATGGTAGGAGAACAATAGACATTTTACTTGCTGTGTCTGGGCTCTATGGAAAATGTGTAGAAAGAAGATCCCTGGAATGCTGCCCATGGTGCCCATTATGGTGTTAGATTATAGAATCTAGCAAATGGATCAGCAATAGGAGAGATGCAAGTTTCTCCCAATAAAGAGAAGAGAAGGAGAAAACAAATTGCTAGAATTCCCCACAAGGCAAACTAAAATACCTTTCCATTTAGAAGCTGAAAATACAAACTGAAGACTCCTGAAAAGAGCCATGAAGACAAAGATGGCAAGAGCCATTCCTCTTTCCCAGACACAAAGGAAAAGGGACTTACACTGTGCAACTTTATCAAAACCTCCATCACCTGCTGACATGTCTGAGTCAAAATGACAGACCACACCCATATTGAGATACAGCATCATAGCCTCAATGTTGCAACTCAAGATCTGGTTGCACTCACTATATTTTCTTGTAGAGACCATGCTCCTGAATGTAATATGCATCCTGGTTTTTACAGACAGCTTGAAGAAAAAAAAAAGACAGGTCGCCAACTAATACAGTGTGCAGGGTCTGGGGCCATGTGCTGGGTCCAGTCAAGGGCTGCATACCAAGTCTGGCCATGGCATGAACCTATGCACTGGCCCAATCCAGCTCACCAGGTTTAGGGCCATGTGTTGGCTCTGACCCGGCATGCTGGGTCCAGGGCTGTGCACTGAGTCTGGCTGCAACCAGACCCTGTGCACTGATTTTATCCAGTGCACAGGGTCTAAGGGTGTTCACTGGATCTGATGCCATGTGCTGGATCGGGGCCAGATCCCATGTGTTGGATCTGGGGCCATGTGTCAAATTTGGCACATGCAGGCCCAATCCAGTGCGCCAGTCCAGCTACAGCCAGGTTCTATGCGTTGCCTTGAGCTGGTGCACAGGGCTCATCATCTGGCCTAGGGGCTCCCCACAGGTCTGGAAATTTGGCAGCTGGAGAGCAGTAGCAGTATTAATTGCCATTAATTGCAATTAATGCTACTACTTCTCCCCCACGGCCAAGTTTCTGGATGCATGGGGATCTACATTTCTTGCATATAACGTGCACTTAAATTTCTCCTAGCTGGTTTGGGGAGAAAAGTGCATGTTTATTTGAGAAAATATGGTACTGCATTTTTCAATTTCCTACAACACCACTAGGGTTTACCATACGTTTGAGTTTTCCTGGGTATGTCCTCTTTTTCGACCCTCTGATCTCCGTCTGGGAGATTTTTTGAAATCTAAACCAAGGTCTGGGATTTTGTTCCACTCCACTGGTGATTGGAGGCAGCAGGTGCACATGCGTCTGCGTGTGGACACACATGTAGCTGGCATGCAGCCTAGCAGGGTCATGGAAGCAGCCCTGGCAGCTGGATGCAGGTAAGTCTGTGGGGGGTGGGGGTTGGAGGGTCAGGGCTTGGGGACTGTCCAGGGGGCTGAATGTGTGTGCATGTCAGGGGTGTGTGGAGGGGATGGGTGTGTGAGGGAGGGCAGGTGCCTGCTGGCACTGGGGTAAGCTGTCCAAGTGCTGGGGCTGTGGCAGGGCAGGGCAGGGGTTTGGGACCTGCCCCTCCGGGGGGGGGAGGGATGGAGGCCCTTTGAGGGCAGCAGGGAGCTGCGTGGCTGGGTCAGCGGCACCAGGATCAGTGCCCTTGCTTGTGAGGCCAGGCCAGCCAGGAGATGCTGCCTGGGAGCACAGGAAACCCAGCTCAGGACAGAGGGTGCCACAGGCCTCCCCTCTTCCCTCCCACCCGTGCTGGGGCCAGACTCACTTGGCCACTGCCCACACAAATTGGAGCCACCACACTTCGGAACAGTCAGGACAGGGGCAGTTGGGGGCCCCCTCCGGCAGAGCTGGGGGGGAAACAGGGGGCTGCAGGTCAGGAGCAAGGGGCACCAGCATGGCTTGGGGGAGGAGAGGGACTGTGGATTGGGAGTGAGGGGCACGGACAGGGCCAGAGGCCTGTAGGTCAGGAACGAGGGGCAGCAGCAGGGACAGGAGGCTGCAGATTGGGAGTGAGAGGTATTGGCAGGACCAGGGAGCTGTGGGTAGGGAGTGAGGTGTCCCCCTGACAGGTGTCCTCATTTTTGGAACTGGAAATTTGGTAACCCTAAATGTCAGTGGTTCTTTACTTACTGAAGGTGGAGCTCTTACAGAATAATTTATACATATACACATTCACACACAATTATATATGTATGTATTCCCTAGATCAGTGGCATTCAAGCTTTTGGCTCCACAGGTCAGATGAGTCGCACAGGGGTGGTGCATGGGCTGGATCAAACCTTGTGTGCAAGGATCAGGCCATGAGATCCAGAACTGTGCCCTCCCTGCCCCACACACAGGAGATTAGGCTCTGGGGGCCTGGCACCACCCCCTCCCACCCTCCACATGTTGGGATTGGATCCTGGGGGCCTAGTACCATCTCCCACCCACTGGGATTGGACCCTGGGGCCTGGCACTTCCCCCTGGAGGCTCTTCACACTGGGATTGGGTCCTGGGATCCAGCGCTGTCCCCATCCAACCCTGCATGCTGAGATTGGGCACCTCATTCAGAAATTACTATTCTTAATTTTTCTTAAACATTCTGGAAATGGGTCTGGAAATCTGGTGGTCACTGCCCCCCCACTGCCAAATTTCTGGACCTGGGAAGAGCTCCATGGGCTGGATGACATGACACCGTGGGCAGAATCTGGCCCATGGGCTGGAGGCTAAGCACCCCTGCTCTAGATGAAAGGATTGTTAAACAAGAGCTAACTCCTTAATAAAGTTTCCTGGATTGAAGGCATGGCAGGATGGCACATTAAAGACTTAACTCATTCTGAGAGACATAAGCTTTCATAGGAGACGGTTGATAAGTCAGCTAGTCTCCAGGGTCAGAATTATTTATTGTGCCCCTGGTACTATGGTTATATTGCAATTCCTATATGTATTTGAGTTACATTCAAAATATAAGATACCACACATCAGAAAACCAGGATGTTACAAGATATGATTGTCTTTAGGTAATTTATCCTAGGCAGTTAGGGCCTATAGTGGGTATGAGGGATGGAGTTAGAAAAAAAGCAGCACAGGAGATGGTAAGTTTTGCCAGTTTACCATTAAGATGCTGAGTCTTTGAGAGGATTTCAGTTTTATGTACCCTAGAAAGTTACCACCTTCAAGTTCACCAACAAAATGTTCTTCTTGAGCAGAACTGCCTTGTCTCTTCAAACTTTTTTTCTCATCAGTCTAATGGTTTCTGAAACCTAACTGGGCTATTTTTTTTCTTTTCTTCAGATGCCCCAGAAAAAACAACAACTTGACAGAACTTCCTCTTAACTCCATATTCAAAGTATCTAGCCCGATAAGGACTTCACTCTCCAGCCTCAGAGCTATTTACTGTGCCCATGATATAATTGCTATGCTGTAAGGAGGAAATACCTTCCAGTAAACACCTAATTAATATTAATTGGATACTAGGATGAGAGCTATGCTTTCTCTGATTAGTCTTAGTGGATTTGATTTGAAGACTTAATTAGTTTGAGGAGACCTGATTTTTGTGACTTTACTCAGGGCTTCTTTTCTGTTCATGAACAGTTCCAGCCAGACTTACATCAGCTACTGGGATGAGTGTGTCAGCAAGGTGGCCAATCCGATTCTTTCTGTACAACCAGGACATCAGCAGTATCCCCAGAGCCACATCAGCAAGGAGAGAAACAAAGATGTTGGCTTTCCTGTGTTCCGGATAATGAGAAACAAAGACAGAGCAGAGGAAGAAGGCTGCTTACTGTTTCAGTAACAACAATCACCAGCTAAATTTACATAGCACCTTTCAGCAATGAAGGATACCAGGGCACTTACCAAAGGTATAGGGAGGGATCTGTTTGCTATATTACTGCTATGCTGCAGTCTTTGATTAAATGCAGCAGTCTTTCTGAGCCAACAGGACTGAAAAATAATAGTAATAGTCTTTGTGTATATGTGTGTGGTATCCATGCATAAAAAACTGGAATGACATTATGGGAGGGTGAGATAGGCAGAATGTAAGCATTTAACTTGTGATTTAATGCTTTCACTTAGAGCAGTTATATAGATTGGAGGTCTTTCCAAAAGATATGCTTTCATTTAACTGCTTATACTTGGGTTAAATAGTTTTTACCTACAAAATAAGATAGACTAAACTCCCCCTCATGCAGGAATTTCTGAATAAAATTCCATGGCCTGGCTTGGGCAGAAAAAATCACACTATACAATGACAATGTTACTTCTAGCCTTAAAATCTACTACCATATTTCCTGGTCTATAGATTGACACAGTGTATGAGTCAAACCCATTTTTCTGATCCAAATATTTAGGAATTTAATAGATCCAGTGTATAAGTCAACCTAACTTTTTGGATCAGAAATATGGGGTTGACTTGTACTGGTGCCTGTGCACCCTCACTGCAGACCGGGCACTAGCGGGGTGGACACATGCCACAGTGCTGCTCATAGGGGATGGGGCCAGGCTTGGCACTCGGCTGATGCGGCCCCATCCCCTGCGAGCAGTGCTGCCTGGGCCACGACAGCCGAGCAGAGAGCCCAGTACTGCTCACAAGGGACAGTGATACAACGTATAAGTTGAGGTTGAATTTTAAGAGTTAAAAATTGGGCTTCAAAACTTGACTTAATACACTTTGAAATATGGTAATCTATTTTTCAGTATTCCCTGAAAACCCATTACTGTAGAATTTGAAAGTCCCACTTACTAGGATTTGCAAAGTGCTGGCCATAGGTGATTCAAACTCTATCTCTGAGATCTTTGCCTTTCCTTCCTCTACTCAATGTGGGGTGGGTCTTGTGTGTATGTATTTTTCTCTGTTGCTTTGATTGTAGCTCCCACTGTGAAAATTCCTCATCTTTAGTCGCTTCAGGAAGGATCCTCCAAAAGACTGGAGTAAGGGAGTAGCTTCCTACCCTTGTGGAACCTGTCCTAAGACCTCAGTTTTGTTTCTCATCTGATTACTTCCACAGTGATTAAATAAAAGGACCTACAGAACTAGCTATAGTCAGGTAGAGTATATGAAGGTGCTCTACAAGCTTTCCTTGTGCAGCTCTGCCAGCACATCCCAATCCAGTTTCCTAAGGTTATGTTTCCACCATCTCTGACCATACTAGGAAGCCCTGCCATGGAAATACCCCGTCTACTAATTCCTAGCCTGCATCTAATGAAAGAATGTAATGTCACTGCTTTAAGAGCGATGCACATGGGCCAATAAGCATACCTGAGACTGACAATGGCGTTAGACATCAATAAGGGTGCACCTAACAGTGGTCATATTATCTCTTTTCAGCATTTGGAGTGGAAGGAATGGGAGAAAGGGGGCAGGGGGAGTTTTCATGGTGGTGCTCCCTTGCACAGTTCCCAGCAGAGTAATTCAGGGGGCATAAACATGATGTGAAGGGATCAGGATTATATTAGAATCGAAATGATGACAGAAAAACTCTTCTCTCTTCCTTGACCAAAAATATTGCTGTACAACTATATGATCACTGTAAAACTAGATGTCTATCTCATAAAAACAGACTTAGGACCAGATCCTATTTCATTTTTCAAGCATATAAGTGGACTTAAGTGTCTAAGTGCAATTCTATCCACTCTGTTCAAGGTAGTAAAGATTCATTAATGCATCTACTCTTGTAAAACACCACCATCTGACCCTTAATACTGAGTCACAAAAAAAAGCAGTGAGGAGGATGAAGAAACACACACCTTTTGATTTAACAGTTTTTCAGGGACTTGAGCTGGGTGGAACGGGTTTTTATTTAGGCATCTAAATCTGCTTATGGTGCCTAATCAATGGAATAGAATCTGGCCCTTAGTATCAGAAAAACAAATAAATTACAACCACTCTATGGTACCAGAGCCAGGGGAGGGAGAGTTTCTTGGCAGCTAGAGCAGAAATTGTTTGGTTCACAGATAATGAAGGCTCCAGCAGGAGACAGAGGTCATGAACTCTGTGAGCTGTCAGATTAGGTGTGTATATAATGTGCACAGCATACCTCATTAGCTGTGGCTGGTTTTGAGCCTTCCTGTTACTGCTGATGACCTGGAGGTGCTCTAACCGGTGCCCCAATTGTTCGCAAGTTGAGAGTTTGCTCCATATGAAACATAAAGGCCAAAACTTCAGCACTCTGCAAAAAAACAAGGGGAATGAATCTCTCCTGGTTAATTTTGGCTTTGAAGCACGTTGTATGATATTCAGGAAAATTCCCGTGCAAGACGTTTCAGGTGATGGCAAGATTCTGTACACATATAAATAATATGAATGCAGACAAAATGTAATAAATATTAGCGATAAATTCCCTCAAGCATTAGAAAGACAGGGAATGTGGAATGAAAGTGGTCTTTCCAAAGAAAGATATTCATACTCTGTCCCCATACAGATGCCAGTCTCACAGCTTCCTGTGTGTACCTCTATAGCAGTATATCAAACTTATTCTCCAGAAGAAAGAAATCCCATTTTTAACTATAGTCTGTAAGTCAGGGTGTTCAGTTAGGGTTGCACATTATTCTTAGTCCACAACGAGTCTTCTATTCATGTCCAGCAGAGGTCTGTACAGATATCAATGCTGCAAATGGTTTTTGTGTTGTAATTAAACTTTTAAACTGAGAAGGGTTTGGGGGTGGGGAGGGAGGGACTGCCCTGCCCTCCCCCCCCCCGACAAACCCAAGTTGGGGTCTGGGGCCAAGTAGTGGGGTTAAACTTTCCTTCCCCCAAGTACAGAGCTGCCCTGCTAAAAACTTACTGCTGGCTGTGACTGTGGACTACAAATCCCGGAGGCACCTGGAAGCAGGAAGAGGAAGTAATAAACAACTCTGCAGAGTCCAGCTGCTGTGATTCTGGACTGCAAATCCCACAGACCATGGGGGCAGCAGGAAGAAGAAACAAACACACAGTCCATGCTGGCTACCTATCAGAGAGCTGTGCTGTAGCACCCAGCGGCTTCTGGCCTGAGCCACTGCAGGCATGTAGCTGCATTTCCTGAATCAAAAGTGAGTGTCTGTCTAGTTGTTTCAAAACTTAATCTCTGCATCTTAGACTAACCTGCAAAGATTGAATCGATTCAGCCTTGGGCTTTTTGACTGTCTGTGCTTAGCCCAAGACCAGAGCCTAGTGAAAACAATGGCTGAAAAGCACGCAGGGATGGCTGTTCTCCAGCTAGGGAGCAGGAGGGAAGGATTCTTTGCCTGTCATTCAGGTTCCAGAGGGTCCCAAGGATAGCTGAATGGACAGAAGATGGCTGTCTGACTATCTACCCCACTCTTCCCCCACCGCTTCCCTTGATAAGGGGAAGCAGAGCACTGTGGGATGCCAGAGAACCAAGCAACTCCCTGTTGGGCCTCATGGCTGAAGACTACCACTGCTACATGCCATTGTGGCGACTCTGAAGTGCTGCTCCAGCTGGGGGCATGGTTAGGGCAGCATAACTGTATAGCACTGAGGCACCCTGAGTTGGAAGCACCATAAACTGGAGTGGGATTCAGAGTGCTTCAGATGCATGTCTATCCATAGCTTTAGTGGTATAATCTTGTAACATACTGTACTTGGGATTCTGTGAGGACTAAACTTAGATCCCAACATAAGCAGTATGACTCCTTTACAGAAGTTAACAGAAGTTTCCCTATTAAGGGCAAGGGGACTGCTTCATTTATACCTGCTTCTTACTTATCTCATGGAACACTTTGCTTATCTCTTCCCAGTCTCTTGCCATGCTTATGTCAGTTTCACTTAGTTTGCATACATACCACATCTATGCACATTATTCTACTTTGCTTTTGAATTTACACTATCATTTATGGTTCTTTGGATTAATCTTTTATTACACCAACTTAAATAGTTGGAAAAAAAAATTTTAGCAAGCTTTCGGGTTTAAAAACCCTTTGTCAGTCTGAGGAATCCTCTGCAGTTGGTGTGTTATCTTCCTGGACAGAATGAATAGTAAAGAAGCCAGAGGCTTGGGATGGTATGCATGCAAGACGGGCAGTCAGTGAAGATGTAAACTGAGAAGTCAGTGGGTGAGAGACAGGCTGGGTTGGGGGCAGAAGGGGGATTGATGTAGCAGTTAAATAGTGGAGAGCTACCTGGGGAGTCAGATGTCAGGCAGGTTATAATGTATCATAAATCCAATGTCTATATTTAGTCTATGATTTTTTGTATCCAGGAGGTTGATGAAGTGAAGTTCATAGGCTCGTCTCTGAGAAGCGTTCTGTAAGTTAGCTTTGAGGATTAGAACCGAGAGATTGGAGAGAGAGTGGTTTTCTTGTGAGAAATGTGCCCCCACAGGTAATTGGGTATTCTTGTCTTTGATAGATTTCCAGTGTGTGCTCATTCTGGTGCGCAGTTGTTGTTTGGTCTCTCCTGTGTATTTTCCATCAGGGCATTTGGGGCATTGGATGAGATGTATTACATTTCTGGAGGTGCAACTGCAGGAATGGTGATGGCTCTGTTGCAGGGTGTAGTAATTGTAGGGGTGGTGGAGATGTGTTAGCAGGTTTTTCATTTCTTATCATGGCATGGTCTGGATCCATTTGGTGTCTTCTGGGCCTTAGGAAAAGTTTGCTTCTAGTGATGAGGTTAGCAAGGTTCGGTGCTTGTTTGAAGGCTAGGACGGGTGGTTCTGGGAAGATCTCTTTAAGAATAGGGTCTCTTTCTAGTATGGGTTGAAATTGTTTGAGGATTTTCCATATAGGTTTGAGGGAAGGGTGATATGTCAAAACCAGCGGTGTGTGATTTGTGGGGGAGTTTCTTTTGTACTGCAGCAATTCTTCATGTGGTATCCAGGCGGCTCTTTCAAACGTGCGATTCATCTCTCTGGAGGAGTGTCCTTGTTGGGTGAAAGCCTTTTTAAGATTGGTGAGGTGGCATTTTACATTTTCACTGACTGCCTGTCTTGCATGCATACCAGCCCAGCCTCTGGCTTCTTTACTATTCATTCCATCCAGGAAAAACACACACCAACAGCAGAGGCTTCCTTAGCCTGACAAAGGGTTTTTAAGCCTGAAAGCTTCCTAAAAAATTTTTTCCCCAACAATTTAAGTTGATCTAATAAAAGATATCAGATTCACCCAAAGAACCCTGTCTGCCTATGTCCTTAGACCAACATGGCTACAACCTACACCCCACTATCATTTATATCACTAGTGAATTTAGCCCAGAGACTTTCATGAGACTTACAGATGCTTCCTCTGAACTTCATTTAGCTGAATTTTGCCTGTGGTTTGGAAATACGATTATGTATTTATGACTGGGCAGGATAAGATGCAGACTAGGTTCGTGCTGCAATTTATGTATCAACCTAGCCATACAAATCAAATCCACAAATTGTGTGGTTGGCATTAAACCATGGGTGCCCCTCAGGGCCTCTTCAGCTACACTTCACAGAGGGTTTGTCAATTGAAAATCCAAAGCCCTGAGGGCCCCCACTGATTCAGATTTTTGATGCATCAGTTTTGAATTCAGTGCTGCACACTGTGAACCAGTCTCTCTAATTCAGAGCCTTTGAGTTATTCACCTCTTCACTTCAGCCACCCACCTCACAGCCAAATTATTGCACTGCTGTTCCACTGGCCTGTCAGGAAGTAACATCCAAAGTGACAGAAGAAAGAACACGTGTTGAGGGGGAGGAGGAACAGCGGGTTGTCACACTGGCTGCTGATCCTGAAGACTCGGGTTCACACATTTGTTGAGGCACTAGTGGAGATGAGTTTTCTTTTGTGATCATGGTCTCAAACTATGGCCTGAGGAACCTTTGCTGAAGTAGAGAATCCTGTTATACAAGCAGGGGAGTAGCAATGGAAGGTCTCTCATTAGAAGGTTGTCCACCAAAGGCTAAAGGTGAGGAAGCACTGTTCCAGTCAACATCTGCCACCTCTTCCAAATTCAAGTAGAAGACAGCAGGATTGGGGGTTGGAAATCTCCATTGCCTGAATCGATCCCCCCTTCCCTTTTCCCCTGCTCCTCACTAGTTTAAAAGGGTGGTGGTGAAGAGATTGATACCAAATATCAGGAATAAGCAATTTTGAAAGTTGTTTTCTTTTCTGAATCATAAACGAAAGACACCTTAATGGGCCTTCAATATAAAATACCACAACTGAACTTTAGGCAACATTAATACCACATCTAACCTGGGACAGCACCCCGCCACCCCACCAGCAGCAGCAAAGAGGTAATAATGAATATACAGATTTCTAGTGGCTGGGGCTCCAACCAGCCACTGTTGAAGAGAAGCCCAGCACTGGAACAGCAACAGGCATGCTTCAAATGTTTCATGAAAATCTGTGCAATTCCTCTTTGTATTATCCTAAACTTTCCTCCTTTTCTTTGTACTAAATGTCATGAAACCCAAGATCCATCCCACATTCCCAGCCAAAAGAAATAACCTCCAAAATATATTGAGAACAGACGCATAGAGAAAGAGCTCAATTAAGTGGTTGCAGGATTCATCACAGAAATTTCCATTTGTAATAACATCCAAGCAAGAAAGCCAAAAAAGCATTTCTTCTGTAGTGTATTATCCCTGCAACGCATGGCAAGTTGCCACAAATGCTTCCATTTGTTTATCAGGCTTACAGTACATGGAATGACTTCTTAAAATGTACCGGAAAACACTTCTAAATGGCTTTTATATCATTACATTACTTAAACAGACAAGTACACAGCAGTAGATGTAGAGTAAATGTCTGGGGCCTCTCCAAATGTAAGCAATTTCAGCTGCAATCGAATGCCCTCCGCATAGTGAAATTATGATTTTTCCAATCCAGATCATTTGTTCCAAGAGCGGGGGTGGCCCCTCAGAATCTGGATGAGAAGCCATCTCTCTGAATCTGGACTGCACACAAGTGTTAAAGCTCCATTAACTAGATTATCTTGGCAGCCTTGTTGCTCTCTGCTACAATTCCAGGAAAACAACCTCCCATCTGGATGAGGCATTGGAGGGGTCAGAGGATGTCAGGAGGAGGCCATTACATGGCTTATTTTTAAAAAAACTAGTGTGTAGAGTTGCCTGCCACAATATTAAATAATTCTAATGCTTCTGGTGATGCACAGGGGATCTTTCAATTGTAATGGAAGTTGTGCCCAAGAATCTCTCAAAATCAAGTCGCAATTACCACCTCTAAGCACAGGGTGGTGGTGAAGAGATGCCTATATTTCAGATCAATGTAGTTTTTATAGACTACATGGGCATTTTTAAGTCTCCTTCACTACATCCAGGTAATGTTGTTGACCAGGCAACCCAGTTTATTTTCTGAGATGATTACCCCCTCCTGTTTTCTAGTTGCATATACAGGCAGGGTGCTTAGAATGGAAATATGAAATAACCCCTAAAGTTGGGCAGATACTAAACTTGATCTTCTAAATTTGATTTTAGCCCACAAGAGGCTGAGAAGTGATCCTCCAGTTCATCAGAACTAATAATTCCTCGTACCCCACTCACTCCACAAAATTTGAAACAAGGAAAACAAGGAAACTTGATCTTAGTTAGCACAAAGGGAAGATGCAAATGTTAGAACTGAGAGGCCTTCCTAGAAACACACAGAAGGCCCTGCTCATTAAACCAGAGAACTGTTAGTTCATACATCCCAGCTGATTTAATCTCTTTCCATCAAATTAAACTTGAAATACCTTATATGCAGTATATGATGTCCATCTTTTAAAGTGCAAGCAGAAGCTCTCTCGGCACCTTTCAGCCACAGCGAGTGCCACTTTAAGAAGCTCAGGCAGGGAAAACTCCCCATTTGACTCTCCACCTGATTCTGTCCCCAAAGAGCTAAGTGATTCCCAGAAGCAATTACCCCAGGTAACTGCTTCTTTCAGAAGCTGTTTCCAAATTGCAGTTTACCTGAAGTAAATTTTATATAAGACATAAAACACCAACATCATTTTATTGTGCTTAGGGTCTGGCTACAATGGGCTTTGGAGGGGTGGACAGTAGGGCTGTGTGAAGCTTTGGGTGTTGATTCGATTTGGAGGAGATGCGGCCCGATTCAGTGACTGAATCTCCAAATCTGAATCGAATAAGGGGACCAATAAAAAGGTCTGAATCGATTTGAAGCTCTCCAAATCTTTGAAAAAGATTCAGAGAGCTTTGATGATTTGGGCAGTCCTCGGTGGCTGCAGCATGGAAATGGAGCTGGACTTGGACCTGGTAAGTAGGGGCTGGAGGAGTGGGGAGGGGACCATGGGGGGATCCCTGCCAGGCTCCATCCCCTGCCTGCTCCCCCAGCCCCCACAACCCCGCCCGCTCCCCCAGCCCTCCTCCATGGCTGCCCCGCCCGCCCCAGCTCCCGGTGCTTT